GATAAAAAAGAAGCAACTACGGCAAAATGTAACAATTGTTAAACTAGGTGGTGGGTATATGGATACTCATTTTTTCAATTTTTTTGGATGTTTGAAATCACTTGTAATACGAAGCTGAAAAAATACCAAATATGCAGATTCCCTACTGAACCCTGAAGAAAGCAAATGGCAGGACAGTACCACGTCATCTGCACATATATTTTATTTTTATTTTTTAATTTTAGAGAGAGAGAAAGCATGGAGCAGGGTAGAGAAGCAGAGGGAGAAAAGAGAGAATCTTAACCCATGACCCTGGGATCATGACCTGAGCCCAAATCAAGAGTCGGATGTTCAAATGACTGAGCACACAACTCAGTATTGTGAAGAACACACAAACTCAGTATTGGCTACCTGGAGACAGGAATTGGGTAGGGGCAATAGAGGACATAATAGGTTTTTACCTTATACATTTAATAATAATCAGTTTTGGGTGTCTTTAATAAAATAAAAATAGCCTTGGCTTAAAATCTTCCCATTTGTTTGTTCTTCTTATCATTTTTATGGCCATCCTGGCTTAAAATTTTAAAGCTATCTTTGAAAGCTGATTTCATATTACCCATCAGGTCAGGCTCTATCTTTCCCTTATTCATAATATTATCAGCCTTTTTCTTTTTTTTTTTTTTTAATTTTTTTTTTAACATTTATTTATTTTTGAGACAGAGAGAGACAGAGCATGAGCAGGGGAGGGTCAGAGAGAGAGAGGGAGACACAGAATGGGAAGCAGGCTCCAGGCTCTGAGCCATCAGCCCAGAGCCCGACGCGGGGCTCGAACTCACAGACCGCGAGATCGTGACCTGGCTGAAGTCGGACGCTTAACCGACTGCGCCACCCAGGCGCCCCATATTATCAACCTTTTTCTACGAAGCCTACTACAGCCATGCCCACGGTCCAGATTCCCAGATAAATTCAAATCTAGGATTTTGTGTCCTAATTCCAGCCACTTTCTCCTCTCAGATGACCATAAAAATCAAAGTCAAATAAATCACCCTAAAACACTGTTGGTACTTCCTTAGTAAAAAATGAAACCAGTTTCACACCACTTTTATATGTCATACAGGGACACGGACCTCGTGAGCCCCCCACTGGCCGATCAGTCACTGAGAGGCCATACAATCCAGAAGCACGGGTAAATTTGTCTCCCGTGGAATGAGTCTTTACCAACTAGAAACAGGAAACAGGAGGAAGCTGGACCGCTAAGTTATCCCTTTTTTCTCTCTCATATGGACTATCCTGAAGTGCAGTGTCTCCCTGCAGCCCTTTCAGAAAAACCCCACATGCAAGCGGCCTGCTCTCTCTCAGCTCAGGGAGGAACAAGAGCCAAGTATGTAACATACTGCACCTCCCTCGGCCTGGCTTTTTCTCTCACCTCTTCTACTCTGCGTTTGCACCTTCCAAACTGAGAGCACTTGAATTGGGTTCTGCTTCTCAAAAGATGTGAGCTAAAACAAACACCTGACCTCAGGTGAAGCACACAAGCAACAACCCTGTGAGTAAATAAACTAAAACGCTATTAAAAGTTAGAGGGCGCCTGGCTGGCACAGTTGGTGGAACACGAGACTCTGATCTCAGGGTTGTAAGTTCGAGGCCCACATTGGGTGCAGAGCGTACTTAGAAATGAAATCTCACGGGCGCCTGGGTGGCTCAGTCAGTTAAGCATCGGACTTCGGCTCAGGTCAGGATCTCGCGGTCCGTGGTTTCGAGACCTGCGTTGGGCTCTTGTGCTGACAGCTCAGAGCCTGGAGCCTGATTCAGATTCTCTCTCTCTCTCTCTCTCTCTCTCTCTCTGCCCCTCCCCTACGTGTTTTCTATCTCATCTCTCAAAAATAAACAAACGTTAAAAAAATTTTTTTAATAAAATGTTAAAAAAAATACATGAGTAAGTTGGAAAACTTAGGACCCCCATTTTGCAAATGAGAAACTGAGGTTCAACTAAGAACCTTGCGTAAAGAGTAAGCCTTTCTGCTTACCAACTATACCCAATCAGTCACAAAATGTTACCTCTAAGAGAGTGATTCCTTTTCTACCCAATCCATTCTAAACAGGGTCCTTGCTCTCAGTTACCCTTGGTCCTCTTACCTCCTTTTCTTCACAATATTCATCACAACTTAAACTCACAAGTATTTTTTTAGTTTACATGTTTGTCTTTCATACCATAAGCTCCATGATTACAGAGATTATGTCAGTGCCTGGCAAGGCAGGCCATGGGTAAATATTTACTGAAGAAATTACTATAGCACTAGCCGCTTTTAGCTAGTCTTTGGGCTTCCGGTCTCGTTTCACTTTAACCTCCCCCTTCCCACGCTGTGATCAGGTCACTTTCTTACATGCTTTCATGGGTCTCTTTTCTTACCCTCCGTGACAAGGGCCCTGAGCTCAGGAGCTCAGAGATGAAGCAGCATGTAAGCTAGAGCATGAGGGGCACCCGGGCGGTTCAGCCGGTTAAGCGTCTGACTCTCGATCTTGGCTCAGGTCCTGGTCTCATGGTTGGTGACTTTGAGCCCCACATCTCATTAGGCTCTGTGCCGACAGTGCGGAGCCTGCTTGGGATTCTCTCACCCCCTGCCCCCCTCCACCCTTCCCCTGCTCGGCCCTCTCTCTCTCTCTCAAAATAAATCAACTTGTAAAAAACGTTACTAATATTAAAAAAAAAAAAAGCCTTTGAATGAGGAGCGTGTTTACCAAAGAGAAAAGAAAATCGAAGGCACTACCACTCAGCAGCTCAGAAGAACAGTATGTCCAAGAGTCGTTTCTGGGGTGAAGAGGGAGGTGTGCGGATACGGAAACGTCGGCTGGAAACACATGGTGAAGCTTCACGAATGACATGTAGGAAAGAGGATGTGATGCACACGAGACGGCATAAGCTTAGAAGGTGTACAGGCATCGGAATGCTCTGCTGCAATTAGCGTCTCAGACATCAAAAGACAACAGTGAGAAGAACAGACCGGACACAAAGAGACAGGGACGGCAGTCAGAAGGCGGCCTCGCGCGTGGGAGACATTAGGAGATAGAGGCTAGAATCACAGCAGGTGAAGCGGGGACGGAGAGGAGGAGGCCAGATTCAAGGAGACCACTCTGAACACTCGGCTGGATACCAACGTAACGTCATCTAGGTGAGACGTTTCCCACAACGTGGCTACAAAGCTTCAACCAAAGACACGGCCCCGAATCACCGTGGGCCTCGTTCCTCCACTACCTGCGTTACGCCGCCACGTTACGCGTCGCACACGTTACCAGATGGGAGAGCCACCCAGCGGCGCTGTCCTTACGGACTAAACAGGACACGTCGGAGGCACGGAGCGAGTCATATCCGTTTCTTCAACCTCCAACACGGTGCCTGGGGCCCAATCTTCGTGAGTGAATGAAGGGAAAGGTACGAGAATACTTCACCGCAGGACTTGGAAACCGGACAGGCCTTAGGCCTTTTTTGAGAAGCTCATTCCAAGCAAGCGCAAGGATATGGCCAAGTAGGAACCGTAAACCCGGGACGCAGAGACGCTGCCTTCAGTTAAGGACGGAAGATGTCGGACAGCTTGGTCCGGCCCTGGACAAGCCACGCTGATTTCCCGCCTGGAACATTCTCGCTATCCAGCCTGCCCCATTCCATACGGTCACTCTGTCATTTCATGGGAGTTTCTACTCAGTTACCACCCCCACCAGAAGCCTCCTGGGACCAGCCTACCTAACATTCTACAGCACACTCTATTATCCTCAATTTGTAAACTTTTTCTCTATGGTTTTCCTTCTCAGCAGACTGCTGCAGAGATCTTTTAACAAATTTCCGATAGCAGGACTGGCTCACTTTCATTTCAAATCTAGTCCGACCATCCGTCATTGAGATCAAAACCTTCAGAATATTGAGATGGGCTTTTTACAGTGAAATCTTTAGAAAAGACAAAGTGTTGACCACTTCTAAGACCTGCGAGTGAAGTTCTTCCAATGAACCTGGATGCCACAGAGAACATTCACTTCTTACAGGAAACATACGGCAGACCCTCCCAGAGGCAGGCAGGAAAGAATTTTATACACCTTAACGGAGAAGACTCTAGGAATGGGGTACTAATCCATAAAGAAATCAGTCGAAATTAAGTGAGCTAACCTTGAGGAACTAGGGGAAAATAGTTCCTAAGCTCAAGGTATTAGCACAGAACGAAGAGAGACACTTCAGTTTTAGGACTATTTAAACAGTTTTCACAAAGCTAACTTCATAGGACATCGCTGACCAGAGGCAGGCTCACGTGGGCGAAATAGCCCAGGTGAGCCCTATCCTGAGCCAGGGGACAGAAGGCACCCGTGTGCTGTGGGGTGATCCGCCTTCCCCCCTGGAAAACCGAAAAGCCCGTGAAGTGGCTACACAAATGTAAGTCCGATATTCCGGCGAGCGGGGCAAAGGCGGTCGGTGGCGGCTTCATACTGCACTTACGTAAAAAAAAAACTACCGGCCATGGGGCCCAAAGACTCACGTTAGGGGCGGCCGAGGGAGAGGACGGGGGAGAGGAACGCACACCCAAATTAAAGTCACCCTCGGGTCCCCACCCCCTAGTCCCCACCTACTCAGCGCCAGGGTCCGCCCGCCCCGGGCGTGGGCGCCTCACCTGCAGGCTTGTCTGCAGCCATCTTCCCGCTCCAGCTTGGGTTCTTCCCCGCGGGTGGCGTGGCCTGGACTCCAGCTGCCGAGCGGGCCGCGGTCCTGGGCCTCGGAGAACGACTCTGTGCCCACCGCGGCTCCGGGCCCCTGAGTTCCGGCCTGGGGAGTGGGTAGACGGCGGGCTGAGGAAGTGACGAAGGCTAGTTCGCGTCGTCTAGCAACAGGAGACAGCGTCTCCAGCCGGCCTCCCGCCACACTCGGCTTCCGCTCCGCGACATCCCCAGACACGCCACTTCCGGGGGCCGCCGCCCGTGTGGGAACGGCGGCCAGCCCCGCCCCACGCTGGCGTCGTCCTGCGCGCTCCGCCCTCGGCGGCCAGTGCGTGTGCGTGCGCGCGCGCCCGGCCGGAAGTGCGCTCGCGTGGAGTTGTGGGCGCGTGGCGGGTTTGCAGGTTGGAATCTTGGGGTGAGTGCCTCTTGCTTATCGTGATTAAAATACCCTGGTGTCGGGGCTCTCGTCCCTCCCGCAGTTTACGTAAAATAGCACTAGTAACACCTGTCATCTGTGCCCTAAGCATTGCCCCTTGCACTTGGCCTGTAAGCTCTCGCTGATTTCTCACAATTCTGTGAGAAGGCACTGTTGCAGTTGCCGTTTGAAAAGAAAACATTTTAGAATAGTTTTAGCCTTACAGAAGATTGCAACGGCGATGCATAGAGTTCCTGCATACTCCTGACCTAGAGTCCCCTGTTGTGAGCCTTTTAAATTTTGACTAAGTTACCATGGTACGTCTGTCACATCTAAGAAACCACCTTGACTGGTACATTACTATATGAATTTCACCAGTTTTCCCCGATGTCTCTTTTCTGTTCCAGTATCCTGTCAAAAGACACGACATTACACATATTCATTATGTCTTCTTAGGCTATGCTTGGCTGATAGTTTCTCTGGTTTTTCTTGTTCTTGACAATCTTGACAGCTTTAAGGAGTACTGGTCAGGATTTTTGAAGAATGCTCTTTGATTTGGGTTTCCCAATATTTTGTTCATGGTTATGAAGCTGGCACCCAGACCTCCAACTTGTCAATTCAAAACGTTAATGGTCATATTGATGAAGTTTTGGGGCGATGGTGGGGTCTGGAGCCGATGGCCAAGAAAGTCCTTGAAGACGTCTTTGGTGCAAAAAGGTGATTTTATTAAAACATGGGGAGAGGACCCGTGGGCAGAAAGAGCTGCCCTGGGGTTGTGACGGGTGACTGATAATATATCCTCAGGTGGGGAGGAGGTTAGGGATAGGTTAAGACTCTAAGGAATTTCGGAAGCAAGGTTTCCAGGACCTTGAGAGGCTAGGTGCTGTTGGGAAAACACCATTTATTACCGTTTAGTAAAACCTCAGTCATGAGACCCAGATATACATCTGTATATCAGGGGGCCATAAGCTTTGAATATGATTGCCAGCTTATATCTTGGGGGTGTTGAGATAAAGGAAGTCTCCAAAGGAATTTTTGTAACGTTAAAGTGGACTTACAGGTTCCTGGGGGTCAGGATGATGCTAAGCCAAGATTCCCTTTTGTCTCTAGCAAAGTGTTGTCACGGAGGCAGCTGAGCTCCTAGAGGGAGGCCACTCTGCCTATTTCAAGCACTTGTCAATGGGCTGTAGGCAGTAAGGGAATTTAAAATTTCGTTTGCCTTAGTTTCCCACATTACCGTGGCCAGCACTTAAACCCCTTTCCTTTGTTCCTGGGTAGCCAGGAGTGTCCAAGAAATAGCACACATATTCCACCTGGGGGCCCGGGGGTGCTGTTAGCCTGTACTTTGCCCTCAGTTTGTCTTAAGCTCCCTCATCAATGTGTACCCAGGCACGGCCGGACCAACCAAGGAACACATAGGCTTCGGCTCCAGGGGTATGAATGCCTGCTTTATCATTCAAAGCCATTTGTGGGACAAGTAGTTAATCCGCACTACGCTACAGATAGATACAATTACCAAATGTACCTAGTGAAATCTTAAACATGAAGAATCAAGGCGTTTTTTAGATTCCAAGTCTCTTGACATGGAAAGACCTCCAGGAGACCAGATAAAGCGGCACCAGGACACCTGCTAGTATGACTTCATGGGCCTCCGATCAATGGGGTCTGCCATTTCAGGATCCCCCTGCCCCTGTTAGCTAGGACCCAGCAGAGGAGTTACTCAGATCAGAGTGTTCAAAGCTCTCAGCAGAAGGGAGGGGAAGGGACAAAAACAGGGAAGGAATGTGTTTCGTCTTGCAGAACCAGGAATTCCAGCCAAGGAGACTGCCCAGCTAGGTGTTTCACCTGATAGCCCCTTAGGTGAGCCAGTTTGAGCTGGACTGGAGCTGAGGATCTTACGCAGAAGCCCCCCTGCATTGTCTTTTTTTTTTTTTTTTTTTTTTAGGATTTTATTTTGAAGTAATTTCTACATCCCACATGGGGCTCGAGCTCACAACCCCCAGATCAAGAGTCACATGCTCTACCGATTGAGCCGGCCAGGCACCCCATTTTTTATTCATTATTATTTGTGTCCCCCTGAATTGTTTTGAAGTTACTTTTAGCTCGTTATAATACTAAGATCTCCTCCTATAGGTGGAGTTTTCTGCCATTTTTTGAGCATCCCGATATGCACTAGCCTGTTAGCATGTTAGGCATGCACAGTTGGGGCAAAGAGCCTGAGAGAATATGTGTAAGTTCTTTAATGTATATGCAAGCTCCCTGCCCTGCCCCCTGAAAGCCTGAAGAAAAACATCCTGTGCTAATCCCACGGGAAGACAGTGCTTTGAGAACTATCGGTCTCCTTCCATGTAACAAGTGATAAAAAGTTCTTTGCCTTCAGCACTTCTTTGGGTGGTATTCAAGTTGATGCACCCCAAGGGCGGCACCCCTTGAGTTCAGCTACAGCTAGACTAAAATTATGGGGTTTTAGGTGGAAAACCACAGAGGTGACGTGCTGTTCTCATGTCAAATGGAGAGAGCATCCTAGCAAAATGATGATGTTAACCTTGATCACCTGGCTCGGGGTGTCTGCCAGGCTTCTCCGCTGTAAAGTTACCCCCACACTTTACTCTTGGGAAGCGAGTCATTACGTGCAGTTCGACACTCCAGTGGGGGAGTGGAGGACAGTTTAGAACGTCCTACCTCCTGCAGTAAGGCGTGTATGTAGATAGATTACCTTCTCTAAGGGAGATCTGTCTCTTCTCCCGCATTCAGTTACTTATTCAGTCATAAACTTTATCATTATGGACTCATGAATATTTATTTTTTATTGTGTTTACGATTCAATATTATGCTATTTTGTTGCTGAAATTGTTTCAGCTTTCTTATTAAAAAAAATTTTTTTTTAACGTCTATTTTTTGAGAGATTGACAGAGTGTGAGCAGGGGAGGGGCAGAGAGAGAGGAAGACACAGAATCTGAAGCAGGCTCCAGGCTCTGAGCGGTCAGCACAGAGCCCGACGCGGGGCTCGAACCCACAACACCGAGATCAAAAGTCGCATGTTCTTCCAACTCAGCCAGCCAGGCGCCCTTCTTTATATTGTTAATTATAAAAGTCATATTTTATCATATATATAATTTGCAAGTATCTTTTCCCATCTGTGACTTGTCTTTTTCTTGATTGAGTCCTTTGAAGCAGAAAAGTTTTTAACTTTGATGAAGTCCAATTTATCTATTTTTTCTTTTGTCAACTCTGCTTTTTGTATCATATCTAATTAACCAGGTCATGAAGATTTATTCTTGCTTTCCCTAAGAATTTTATAATTTTTTAACTCTTTTTAAATTTTATTATATTTTTAATGTTTATTTTTGAGAGAGAGAGAGAGTGAGCAGCAGAGGGGCGGGGTGGGGGAAGGATAGAGGATCCGAAGCAGGCTCCATACTGACAGCAGAGAGCCGAATGCTGGGCTTGAACTCCTAAACAGTGAGATCATGACCTGAGCGAAAGTCAGACACGTCACTTAACCAAATGAGCCACCCAGGTGCCCCTCTTTTTTTTAAATATATATTTTTTAATGTTTACTTATTTTTGAGAGAGAGAGACAGACAGAGTGCAAGCAGGGGAGGGGCAGAAAGAGAGGGAGACACAGAATCCAAAGCAGGATCCAGGCTCTGAGCTGTCGGCACAGAGCCCAATGTGGGGCTCAAACCCATAAACTGTGAGATCATGACCTGAGCTGAAGTTGGATGCTTAACTGACTGAGCCCCCCAGGTGCCCCTAAATGTGTTTTTTTTTAATGTTTGTTTGTTTATGGGGTGGGGAGAGACTGAGACTGGAAGAGGGGCAGAGAGAGGGAGAGAGAGAGTCTCAAGCAGGCTCCGTGCTCTGTGCAGAGCCCAATGCACGACTTGATCCCACATCTTCGAGATCACGACCTGAGCCCAAATCAAGAGTCGGATGCTTAACTGAGCCACTGGGCTCCTCTTGGCTCTTTTTTAAAAAAAATCGTTTTAGCTCTTACATTTAGGTCTTTGATGCATTTTGAATTAATTTTTATATATTATGCCAGCTAGGGGGCCAACTTCATCCTTTTGCATGTGGATATACAAGTTGTTCTTTTAAACTGCTACATTTGGGGTGCTTGTCATATAGCAATAAATAACTGCAAACCATCTCCCGATTCTTCATCCCCCATCTCGTTCAACCAACCAACCAACCAACCAACCAACCAACCAACCAACCAACCGAGTCTGTGGATTTTACCTCCTCCATTTCATGGATCCTTCCATTCTCACTGCCACTCTCCCAGGTCACTGTCACCTCTGACTGAGACAAGAGCCACAGCAGCCTTCTCATCCAGTCTCTCCACTTCTAGAATGCCTTCATTTAGCCAGAGATAGGTTTTTAATGCTAATCTGATAGTGTCCACTTCCGTTTAAAACACTTCACTGCTCTTAGCACCAAGTCCAAACTCCTGAAAATGGGTTAAGTCCCTTCATGACCTGCCTATAATCCCTTTTCAGCTTCCACCCCATCCACACCCTCCCTCCCTTACAGCCAGTACCCATTTCCTTCCCTGAAAACACGGGCATCATCTCTCCTCAAGAAGACGTTCCTGACTACCCAAGGCTGTATTAGTAATTTTTTTTTTTAATGTTTATTCTTGAGACAGAGAGAGACAGCATGAATGAGGGAGGGGCAGAGAGAGGGAGACACAGAGTCCGAAGCAGGTTCCAGGCTCTGAGCCATTGAGCTATCAGCACAGAGCCAGATGCGGGGCTCTAACTCACAGACTATGAGATCATGACCTGAGGCAAAGTCGAATGCTTAACCAACTGAGCCACTAGGCACCCCTGTACTAGTAATTTTCAAGTCTTCTATTCCACTATGGAAACAATCTCTTGTATGAATCCCCTGTCCATCACCTCAGCTGTAATCTCCAAACACTGTCTTTAAATATCATCATTGTACTTCTGCTTAGCAAACATGCCAGTATCCACGAATGCAGCATGACTTAGACA